TTCAAATCACATTAGGATTGTTGTTGCATTTAAGGTGATGAATTAATTTAGTAAGAGATGAATCCCCTTTCATACTGGTCAGTCCCTGGAGAGTATAGAGAGGCTAGTGGCAGCTGGACTTGTCTCTTCATAGTTGTGCCAGTTATTGCCAGGACTGTCAGCCTGATACCAGATGCGCGAACAGCCCTTGTGCTGTGGATGCAACTGTGCTCAAGAGAAGCACTCAGGGTCACGAATTGTACGGTGTGGTGGTTTGGGCCCTGCCGGGACCCGAGACCAAGCTGCCGTTGTCCCTCCCCCACCCTCTGACCGGACAGGGTAGGGAGTGAGATACAAACCCTGGGGTTGGGATGAGGAGAAATTTAATACAACAGTGTAACAAATAATAAACTGAACAACAATAGCAATAACAACATCAATAAACAGTAATAAGAATGAACAGGACAAGAGATATGCCGCAGGGATACAGCAGTGAGGGTACCGACCACGAACACAAACTGTCCCAACGCTCTTCCCGAGTTGGGCACCCGGACCTGACGTCGGCATGATGTGAATAACCCTGCTGGACCTCCCTCCCCACCGCTGGGGAAACTTAACCCTATCCAGCTGAACCAGGACGTACTGTTTATTCTTATGCAACATCTACAGATTCTTTGAGATTGCCTATGATAAATGCACAAACTGCAGGCTGGCTCTATAGCACTACACACAAAAAATAATTGCAATCACACACAATTCCTGGGTAGTCACTTGGCGTAGCTGAGGGCCCAAGTCTTACCAAAAGGCGTCACTTGCAGGGAGAGGCAGGAGCACAAACCCATCAATCCATCCCTTCTGTTTGGTGTCGGATTTTCATCCCTCTGAGTTAGATACAAATTTGGGGTAGTATTTATCTAAGTGCGTATGTGTGAGTGGGTGGGACTGTGGTCAAGCCATTGTTTCCTGAATAACAACACTCCACCAACACTGCACATTTCTTGGTGCAAGGTGTGGGCAGTTTTTGTGAGAAAAGAGGAAGAATAAGAGATAATGTCTACAGAGTTGTTGTTCAAAACAGTTAGTGAGAGAAGAGGAAGAGCAGGAGAAAATCCGTATGGTTGTGTCAAATATTCCTCGAGAAAAGTGGAAGAACGGGACCGTGCAGCCTCCACCTCACTTCTCATTCCTCCTTGGTGCCATGGCAACACGAATCACCGGGTCTTCATCCTGTCCTGTGATTGTCCTGGGCACCGTATGTTAAGGAAATGTGTGTTTGGTAGGTTTTTTTCTGTTTTGCTTTTCCCACACTTGCAACAATGCTCTAATTTTGAATGGCAGTTCTAGTTGGCATTTTATTTTGTGTCATAAATTAACAAACCATGTGGATTTATACCACTGATTCATTAGAGCAGGGCTGTACTTAGAGAAAATTTCATTACAGTAGTTTTGTTTGAAGGCAACACACATTTGTGGGGGGAAATAAAGACAGTTTCAGGCCATATTTAGGCATTTTAATTACGGATAAATATAAAGCAGTGAAAACTGCCTTCTAGTTTTCCATGCTTCCTAGCACCACAGTTCAGTGCAAAGCACAGTTTATGCTCATTAGCATCAATGTACCAGCATCCAGGTGCTACATTGCTTTTCAGGAGCCATTGTTGATAATGCATGACTAATACTGTATACAGTAGATAATTTATTTACAGGTGAAACAGTTCTTGAAGATGTATGGTGTTTGTGACACTCTGTACAGTCTTCTCTCTGTAAATGAAGAAAGAGGATCTACTGAAATCATGAAATGACAAAAAGCACTGTTTCCTGAAGAGGAGTAGCTTCTCATAATGTTTTTTTTTTTTTTTTTTTTTTTTTTTTTTTTTTCTATGTCTCTAAGTCATACCATTGCGGAGGACGGAGGAAGCAAGTAGCCGATTCAATGTGAATGATAGAGCAAGCTTCAACTCTATTGAAAGAAATCACACCTTATATAAGCACTAACTATAATTACGCACACTAATCACAAATCTAGTGGATACATCTAAAAGGCCACATTATAATATCCCAGCCCCCTGTGGCACATCAGGTATGTCACAACATCCTCCTTCCTCTGGCCTGCCTTTTTTTCCCAAGGTTGTTTTTCATTATACTCAAGGCTATTGTGTACCTCAATTTCTCTCTTTGACAGCTAAATTGGGCCCTGGTCTCCATCTGTTCCATCACTCCTGCATATATTGGCTTTCTGCCTACAGTGATGTCTTACTGACCACTTCTTCTTTTTTTTGCACCCAGCAGATAGGAAGGTGACCTAGAAAATCTTCATTTTTTTCTAGATGTTCAGTTTGCCCTTTTACTTTGTGTCTGCTGCAGATGACACCTATGGAGTGAAGGTAAAACAGAGCTATTTGGCTCAGCATCTATGAGACCCCTATGCAGCCAAGGACCTGGAGACTGCTGTAAGCACACAGAGCAGAAAATGGGCTAGTAGATCTGTTTGCCTACTTGTGAGGTCCTGGTAGGTATCTTTTTTTTTTTTTTTTTCCTCTTGGGGTATGGGAACAGTTTCCATATGTTACAGAAACCCAGTGCATCTTACTTTGAGTGACAAGCATTCTCCTCATCAGCTCTTCAATGATGCTATCAAATCACCAGTTGCTTACAAACAGAATTTGTGTGATCTCATGGAGGTGATGCGAGAACTGGAGGTAAGAAGGGCTCTACATACTGCACTCCTCCTAAGTGATTAGCAGCTCTGCTCCTTTTTCTCTCAGAGAAAGCAGAGCTGTGGCAAAGGGTGAAATTGCCTTATGCTGGTGACACCATGGAGTTTGTATGCTGCTTGTGTCAACGTTGGAAGGGCTGAGGTTGTGACCCTCTGAAGAGCCCACACTGCCCTAGACTGAATTTGAAATAACTACAGCAGAGCATAGTTATTGCTTTCATGCTTCTCAGCAGTTGTCCTGCTCCTTTCCAGAGATTTGTCCTGCAGGAGAATGAGAACTTGTCAGATAAAGAGGAGAGCTGCCCTGAAGAGAAGCTCCCATCTGCCTAAACCCTCAACCCTGAGTCTGTTTTTCCCTTTGCTCTGAATTTCTGGGGCTTGTTAGAGCTGGCTTTCAGAGACAAAAGTGAATTTTATCATGTGAGAGCTCTGATGATGGGCAGCTGGGCCTCCCCTTCTTGTGGGACACTGTCTGGGCATAACCTTACTTGACTCAGCCCAAGCCACTGCACATCACAGTCAAGGAAAGGATAAGAGCATCCCCATGGCCATAGTTACTGTACGCATCTTCAAGGCAAAGCTTGCAAGGAGAGCTAAACCACTCTTGGACCTCCAGGGAAGGGTCCTGCAAAGAGGCTTTAATGGTATGTACTGGAGAAAACAAACACTAAATATTTTTTTTTTTACAAAGATTTGAGCTTGCATCCTTCCTGCACTTTTGTTAAAAGGCAATCCTGTTACTATACAGTGCAAGTGCAGCTGCCAGCCCTCTACATTATTTTCACAGTCTAGCCTCTCTGTGATCTCTGCAGAGTTTCTTTGGGTTTCCTTCCCCATTCTGTTACAAACCAGCCAGATTCAGTGGACTTCTGAACATGGGGGATTTCTCCTTTCAGGTCCACTAGAGCTGAATACGGTGAACTCTCACACCCAGGAGGCTTCTCCTATCACAGCCTGATGGATGTGGCTACTGCTGTTCCCATGCGTGTGTTCAAAAGGTTTACACGGCATTCCAAAGAGCCAGATACACAAAGAGCCAGATACACAAACACATGTACAGACTTACACAAACAGATGGACATAGACAGAGTGATGCCTTTACCAGAGCCCATGTATTCATAACCACTGCTTATATAAACATGCCAGTCCTTTTCTGCCTTTCCAAATGATCAGTATTGGATGTTTACTAGGAAACATAAACACATCTTCACCTCGTAGTTTCATAAGCACAGAATGTGTGTAAGATTCCTCAAGTAACTGTATGGAAATTAAGTCCATGCCATATCCATGGCTGGATGTCAAGCTCCTTACCCCGTCATCAGTGAAAACAGTGAGTCTTTCCAGATCTGTGTTTCCTGTATCATGACAGAGTCCAGTTTCATGTTCATTGGTGCACTGTGCACACACACAAGGGTCCCACAAGTAGCTGGCTTAAGACACTTTGTGCTTCCAAATTCTGTGTCCAAGATCTCTAGTCCCATATGACCAGATGTCCCTTATTGCACTGCACCATCACTCTCCCCTCTGAGACATCTTCTAGATTTTCAGCACACCACTGAACTTCAGAGTTCCTTGCCTACTGGTACTCTGCTCGTTACTAATAGGATTGCTTTTGTTTGTACCTTCGGTGCTCTTTCCCTGAGGAAAAGAAGGGAACCACTTGTGGTGGGTTGATCTCAGCCAGATGCCCGGCAGCCAGAAAAAGCCAGACCCAGGGATGGAACAGCTGATTTCAGCGGAAGCCTCTGAAGCAAGTCCAGAGCTGGACCGGGCCATGGGAAAGGAGGCGGGGAGGAGGGGCTGTGGACAACACCAGAAGAAGAAGAAGAGAGAAGGAGACACCAAACTTCTTAAGTGTAACCACTGCAAACGTAAATTCAAGAACAAACTTCACCTCTTTAAGGGATAACATTCCACAATGAAGTTGCCCAGACAATCAAGGATTTCTTAAAACAAGCCTGTTTATTGGATATTTACATCGGGTAAATCCCTCCTGTGCCTCCAAGCAGGAGGAGCATCACAACAGGGAGCAGATGTAGAGGCTGCGTGGGAAGCAGGGACCCGGCTTGTGTTCAGCTTGTCACGGGGCAGAGGAGGAAGCACAGCACGTAGTTCATCAGGTGCTCCACGGGGATGCAGCAGCGCCTCGCCAGCAGGTCCCCCACAGTGCCCAGCTCTGGTGGAAGACGTGCTCGAGGGGTGATCTCAGGGGCACAAGCAGCAGGCGGTTGGTGATGTTGTTCTTGGAGGTAGGTGCTCAGGTGTTCACAGGCGCTGTTCCATCCCAAGGCTGGATGCGGCCCCATCAGAGACGAGTTCTTGGAAAGGGCTTGGCAGATGCAGCAAAGGCTTTTCTCGACCCAGAGTCACAGGGCTCTGCTTTGCCCTCCCAGTCCCCCTCCTCTCTCTGCTCCTTGGCACCGCTGCAGCTTCCCTGCTGGCTGCTGCTGTTGGAGACAGCGCTCCTCTGCCTGCGCAGCTGGTAGAGCTCAAAGAGCAGGAGCAGGGTTTCGGCAGAGGCCCAAAACCACCAGTGCTGGCAGACAGCGGGGAGCATGCCTACCAGAGTGAGGCTACACAGCTCCTGGCTCCTCTGCTCCATCTGCTCCATCAGCCAGGTCATCTCCTGCTGCTGCTGCTTCTCACGCTGCTGCAGGAGGTCTTGTGTGGCCGGGTCACTCTGGTCATCCATTCTCAGCATGTGTTGCAGGACGGTCAGCACCATCAGGACGCGGGTGATGCCCACAGCCATGGTCTGGAGGAGGAGGGAGAGAAGGGGCTCAGTGGTAGTGGGTGGGAGAGAGATGGCGGCTGGAGCAGCAGGGGAGAACACGCAGGGGCCTGGGGACGGGTGGGAGAGGGCCAGAGGGAGCTGGGAGGCAGTAAGGGGGAGGGTGGTGAGTGCCGCAGGGAAGGGGACATCTCCCCACAGTGGCTGGCAGCCCCGGCACCCCTGCCCCAGGCGCTCCCCGCAGCGGCTGTGCCCTCGCCCCGGCTGGAGAAACCCCCCTCGGGGGCCAGAGCTTCTGCCCCAGCCCTCGCCCGACCCAGCCTTCCCCCGCCGCCCTCACTCACCGCTGGCCTGAGCCGGACTGCAGCGGGTGTTGCTGCCCTGCACCCTGGTGACACCCTCGGGGACCTCTCCTCTGTGATGTCACGGGCGCCAGAGCCCCACGGGGACACCCGCCGCTTGGGCCACAAACACTGCCCCTGGCTCTGCAGCCCCTGCAGCGGGCACAGCACAACCCCCCTGGCAGGACAGAGCTC